AAATTTCAGCTCAAAATTCGATCGGGAAGGCATTCAAATAATTTCTTGAAGTTAACTGGGCAGTTCATACATATAAACTGCCCAGTTAACTTCACAAAATTATTTGAATGCCTTCCCGATCGAATTTTGAGCTGAAATTTGGTAGGGATAAACTAGACTTCATGAAGAACATGCTCAAAAAATTTCATCAAAAAATTCCATCGGGAAGTGCCCGAAATGCCCTCGGCCGGACGGCGGTTCCCGTCAGGCCGGCTGGACAAGAAGACTACTCTATATATATATATATATATAATACATAAATATAGAACACATATTAATATTGGTCTTAGGCCATATTAATTGGAAATATTCCAACACATGACATTTTTGCGTTCAAAATGAGGCAGCCTAGGGAGAACGACATTTTTGTGTACTTTTTTAGTGTTCATATATAACATACATATCGGGTGATGAACACACAATGAATGCAAGCTACTCAAGAATGTATGCCAAATGTTAAATAAAGTCCCACCTACAAAGATTTAGAGGGGGTTTGGTAACTTTAAAATTGACTAAACATTGAAATTGTTGAATTTTAGTATTTATTAATAAAATTGAGAAAAATTATACTACGTATATACTAGTACTTCGTATGAAAAATTTGTTAAAGCTGTCATCTACAATAACTTCAATAAAAAAATTAACTCTAACCTTACTTATTTTGATTATTATACAGTTCAATGTTTGAAATTAAAAGTTACGTGTTTGATTCATTGCGGACACTCTAACCTAGACTATGATTCACACAAATGGAGAATATGTCAAATGAGATCAAACAAGAAAGAATGAAACTTTATCTTAAATTCAGTGAATAGTGAGATGCCTTATATCTTCTTGTAAAGGTGCTGGTAATACAAGTATGCAATAATTCACTCCATGGTATCTGTTGCTTGGATCAATGGATCTTTTATGAAAGAATGACAAGTAGTGGCTTTCTTGCTGTGAAACATTACTATATACATATATAATTCCAAGTATTTGGTAGAAGAGAGTCAAGAGACAATTACACATACTCAAACTGCAACAGATGAAACTAACTCTTAAAATAACCATTGCTATAATCATTGTTGTGTGATGAAGCCTAGAGATGGGAGGGACAGATGAGGGATCTTAATGGTGGGGAGGGCTGCTGCTGCTTCATTACCTTGCTTATTCTTGTTTCCCAGCAACCTCTGATCATCATCATCTTCTTCTTCTTCTGCTTGAGAGATGGGTAGTTTACGACGTCTGAACATCCCGGCAACAAACCCGCCCAAAGATCGGAGCGGGTGATTCAGCCCGTCTTTCAGTTTAAGGATCAGAGACACCTCTGAGAGCTGCCATGTTAGGGTCAGCACTATTAGTGCTGATACCAAACATTGAGTCACCTTGTTCTGTCTTTGAATGTTCTTTAGCTCTTTTATCATCCTTTCTTTTTCCTCTTCTTCTCCTTCTAAAGAGGAAGAAGAACTCGTGTTGCTAAGCCCCTCACGAGTTGTGCTGGTCACTTTTACCCTCTGCATTTGTAAGACATTGCATTAACTAATCAAATGGCTCATTTGGACTTCATTTATGTCTTCATTATATTCATCAGTTTGTCTAGGATCTATCATAACATGCTGGAAAAGTCAATGTCGTCACTTAGTTTTTTGCCTTATGACATACTCCGTAAAACTTTTCCGGCAGGTTATAAAAGCAAAAGAGTGTGATATACGAAGTATGATGTTTTTAATTGGACTTATTTCCGTTCAAACCAGATTAGACCAGACTTCAGCAATTACAAAATGTAAACAGATCAGACATCTACCGGATTAGACTATTCATTACATTAATGATCAAAGGGTTTGTACAAAAAAATGATCAAAGGGTTTCACGATCAAATATGCAAAAAAAAATACTTTTTTATTTATTGGCAACTTTCAAATGATAATATGAATAAGCTCAATTAATCCTCAATTCATTAATAATGCATATAACATGCAAGATAAGTTTTTTAACATAGACATAGCATCATATAGTAAAATTCTTTGGTTGAAGTAAAATTTGAACTAATAAACTATTACTCTGATTTTATGTTGTTCCTGTTATCGGATTCAACTTTCAGATGTAACCCAGAATCTTAAGCTCTTCATTTCCACTTTCAGACGTACTAAAGAAGACCAAAAAGAGGGGGTAACTAAGATTCAATTGACATTTAGCAAAATCAAAGTTGTTAACTTTTTCGAAGGGCACCTTTGAAATTGTGTGCCGCTGGGAATCAGGCTTCTGAACATTAGCTTCCTGCATGAATTCGACTTTCTCCAACTTTGATTCCATACCCTTTTCTGAATCGATCGCGAAGAACAGAGAAGAGATGACGAAATGGCTTATGGGTGTTCTTGAAACTACCGCAACCGATATGATAGAATCTAAACGAACCGTCTCATGAACCTACTAATCCGAAACACGTGGTCTTCTCATCTCAAGATTATACTAGTAATCCATTAAAATATTAAATATACAATATTATATGGTTCTTTAAATACAAGTTCTTGCGTAAATATCATTAAAAAAATGGCACTATGGCCGTGATCGTGATTTTGACAAGGGAAAAGGGGCAAATAAGCCCTCGAACTAATAAAAAAAAGTACAAATCGATCACCTCTTATATAGGAGGTTCAGTCTGACTATCGTCATATGGGGAGGTTCCCGGTAGAATTTTTTGATGAATTTTTTTGAGCATCTTCATCATTAAGTCTAGTTTACTCATACTAAATTTCAGATAAAAATGCAATCCGGAAGGCAGTCAAATGAATTTTTGAAGATAATTGCGCAGTTAAACACTTAAACAGCGCAGTTAAACAGAGCAGTATATTTCATAAAATCATTTGACTGCCTTCCCGATTTTAGTTTTAGCTGAAATTTGGTATGAGTAAACTAGACTTAATGAAGAAGATGCTCAAAAAATTTCATCAAAAAATTCCATCGAGAACTGTCTCAAATAGCGACACCCGGACAGAACTTCCTATTCCACCGGGAACTGCCCCTTTTCCCTTTTGATAATAACTCCCAAAATAGTAATTCGAAAATAGACATCATCAAATTCAATTCTAAGATTTACACGCCGTTTGACATCATTATTTTTCATCTTATTAGGCTTATCAGCCAACTTTTTTTACCAAACGCGTTACTTTTGCTTTTGTGTGCTGAATTGTGTAATAAGTAGAAAAAGTAAGGTTGGAGTTACTTTCCTGATTGTATTGGCTAAAGTTACTATAGATGGGCGTTTTAACTACTTTCACATATAATTTTTTCTTTAATTTATTACTAAAATATATTTTAAAAATATTTTTTTCTTAAACCAGCAGAATCTGCCAATGCAACCACTTCAGTTAGAACTTCATAAATTTCAGCAGAATCAACCAAATAAGCCGATTTTTGTGCTACCAAACGGGCTCTTACTATATTATATTTCCAGTGGTATATAAACTGAGCCTCAGATGATTATTTAATGAGCATGTGTTTTTCCACAAGTTTCTACATAGTACTAGGGGCTTATTACTAGGGACGGGGGCGGTCCGGAACAGTCCGGAAAAATAGTAAAGCCCGTAATGTATCTGTGAGGTTTCTAACGGTCCGGTTTTAAGGATGGAACCATTCGGTACCATGTCATTCAGAACGGTACAATGCCAAACACATGCTAAAATATAGACAAATCATGCGAATGGTAAATAACATCATACCAACTCACATTAAGTGTCGATATAAATACAAGAAATTGCATATGTAGCACTAAAATTCCCAAATACACAAATAGTGCAACACAACTAAGAAAAAATATACAAGTAGCAAAATAATGATACATGAGATAAATATCGTCTTTTATATACTAAGCTCATGTGAAAATTTAAAAAGAATATCATCAAATTCTTCAATATAATAGAAAAATTCAATGTTCTTCTTTGTTCTAGGTTCAATATTAGTTGTAATTTAATTTATCATTGAACCATGAGAACTAAGGTTTAAACCATATTAATTAAGTAGTACAATTGCACAAACATGATATAACAAAAGGTCATATATACTACATTACTAGAAATGAAGTCATTAATGATTTTTGAAACTTTAACATTCTTTCAATACATACCAAAATATAACACAAAATTATCTAAAAAGCAAAAATTAACAATATACATACAAACACACACATTTAGCTATTTTAGGGACACATGAATACATATTTGGATATAAAATTATTGGTCTGTAGAATATATTTATTGGTATGAAAGAAAATATAAAAAATTCAAATGCATTATTTTTGAACGGTCCGACACGGTATTTTTCAGTTCTCAAATCTAGGATCGATCCCGGACCCGTTTCAAATAATACGATTTCGGTTCGGGATAAAAATCTATAGAACTATTTAAATTAGGTATGAACCCGGGCCGGGCTTAGGCCCGACGGGCCTTTGAGTTTTAATGGGTAGACCCAAGACCGGCCTGGGTATCCACCGGGTCCGGGCCGGGTCGAATGTATTTTTTTTGCTTTCCTAACTACCCCTGACCCCCCACCCCCACCCCCCCAAACCCCCCAAAACACCTAGCCCAATTCGGTGGAAACTCAAAAATAATGAAAAAACAAAAAATAAGAATTGGGCCCAAATCGGGCCCGACCAGATCCCCATTTGCCCTACCCGTGCCCGCCCCCCGCTATCCCACCGGTTCGGGTCACTACCCAGTCCCGGACCGCCAGACCAGGACGGTCCCAGGCCCACACAGTAGCGGGCCGAGCCGGTTCACGGGCCGGGTGGCCCGAACCGAGTCCACCACTAGTTTAAATACCTAATATTCGATTCGATATCATTACGGGCCGGTTCAGTACAGATTCAGTTCGGGTTTTATGCCCACTCCTACATAGTACTACCGATTACTAGAAGTGTGGGGCGATTTCAGTTCAGCTTTAATCTATTTTTGTTTCGATTTAATTCCAATCGGATTCAGGGTTGAGAATTCAGATAAGTATCTCAAACTTATCCGTTTTTGTTTTGATTTGAGATAAGAACCTCAAACTTATCCATTTTTGGTTCTATTTTTGTTTCGATTTGAGATAAGAACCTCAAACTTACATATACAATATACATACCCGGATGATTATGTTTTCTTACAAATACACATTTATTGGAACAATTACATATTTTAAAATGCAGTTTACGGTCTCCCAAATGTGAGATTACCACTATTTTGCATGAGTTATAAACAGCAGGTGCCCTCTCGCATTTGAACAATTGAACCTATTTTACATTAATAGCAGGCACATGCCATGGCTTTCCATATACATATCTCAATTCTTTTGCCTCAGTCCCCTAAATCTGAAGCTCAGCCTGCCAAAATGTTAAAAGCAGTTAAAAACCTGTGTGGCACCAAAGTCAGGCAGAATGCATAGCACATTCACAACCGTCAGTCCGACCGGAGATGGGCGGCCCTTGATTGATGGTAGGGTCAGATTGTGGGCTGGAAGAAAGAGATGGTTTGGAGAGAGAGACGAGGTCCAACTTGGGCAACATATAGAGGTGCTGGATATCTTACAGTGCAAATTACTATTCTATTTGTCCCAAAAGAATTATTTAAAAAACAAATTCTGCTGACCTTGCAAAGTGGAAGCTACAAAAAGTTAGATTATATTCCAAAAGATCTTGAAAAAAGAGTTATATTTCAACAAAAAAACTAGTATCCATCTATCCATCATATTTTATGTACTTGAAGAAACATCCCAAAGGAGTTAAGTAGGTTAGTTTGGTTAAATTGCCAAATAACTGTTCATTTTAAAATGAAACAGTTGTCTTCATGAAACATGACTCATTCCTTGAGACAAAGGTAGTGTTTGTGTGCATAAGTTTAAATCATGTACTTCTATGTATAGTTTTCCATTTCTACTTTCATTCCAACCATCACCTTTCTTCCGCCAAGGTCCCCCAACCAGGGAGTAAGATTTTGGGTTTTGCTTATTACCTTAGCTTGCCGATACTTTTCAAGAGTGCGACAATACTGTTGCCGTGCCTCTGGACATTCAACCATGGAGATAACTCTAGCTACTGCCTCATCGATTGCCGCATCCACTTTCTGCCTGCGGAACACCTTGAGAATTTTTTCACCGTCACTTTCGCTCATCTCTAGGTGGAATCCACGAAGGCCATCTTCATGCCGGAACCACCTGAGTACTATCTTCTCTAGAACCCCAGTTGCCCAACATACCTTGACTTCCTTTCTAGCCTGATAGCCTCGTACATGGGCCTACCCAGTTTCCATCAAAGTCATAATAAGAAAAGGATTTAGACAATTTACTTGTAAATGAGCAGGAAGTGAAAACATAGATAGGCAGTGCAGTGGGAAAAGAACAGATGTATCATGCTGGTTTTAGTTTCTGGTTTAATGATGCCTTCTACTACCTCCGTCTCGGCAAGGTCATGTTTTAAAGGTACGTCCTTTTAATTTCAGCAAGAACTATTGGAGCACAGAAATAATCAATTCTAGTTACATTTCTCAATTGGTTTGTTGGTTAAACCAAATTTAGCGTACTTAACATGTTCGGGATATTTATTTGGAAAATATACATCAACTATAATGAAAAATAGCATATTTTGTTCATACAGAACTCTTGATGGGTCAAAAAAGTTATCAAAGCGGACTCTTGTTTTATTTCTCCAATTCTTTAACATGTATTATGGGTCTTGCATTTCAGTTTTTGTAGATTTATTTTGATAATTTTAGAGTAAACTAGTTGTTCCCGTTAAAATCACCCTCAACTGCCTCAAGTATTAGGGTTTACGAGGGCATTCTCGCCATCCTATATCACCCAGAATGCCCCCATAAATCTTACAAAATGATGATCTCAGAGAGGACTAATTGCATCTCAATTATAACAATTGAAGGACAAAAAAGAGGCAGCCCGGTGTACATTGGAGTCCCTGCAAGGCGAGGGTTTGTGGAAACTCTGGAAAGGTCCCACCACAAGGGTGTATAGTGGGCATGCCTTCCTTTTTCATTTTGACAAGAGATCGCTCCCAATACTTGAAACCGCGACCTCTCAGCCACACAGCAACACCGTGCACAAAGGCTCCCCTTCATAACAAGTGAAGTACTAAATTTATAACATTAGAAAGACAAGTGTTAAGAACCCGCGTATACGACCTTGTCCAAGGCCTCAATCGAGATCTCAGAAGAGAAGAAGAGCCAACTGAGACCTTCGGATCAATATTGTTAGTTTCAGATTATTGGAGTGATGAAGAGTAATTATGTAAGAGTCTTAAGGTGGAATTAATCGGAGCCCGGCCTAGTCAAGACACGTCAAAATTAATTCTTCCCAAGAGTCCCTTTAAATCTATGTTGTAAGACCCGGACCAGTGAGCGACCCGGCCGAGTGACTGGGTCACGGGTCAACCCGGACCCAGCGGGTCAACCCGGTCAATGCCGGGAAAACCCGGTCAACAACAATACATATAATTAATTAATTAATTAATTATATAAAAGCTTAAATTCCTAAACATAAAAATTATACTCCTTCATAATATGATAATGATAATACAATATATGCAATGTAAAAAACATTATACGTAGTATTTAAGTATATTGATATTTAAAAAACATTGGGATTTAAATGGATAAATACAAACATAATACCAATTATAAATTTGAAATAAGAAATTGAAAGATTATATATATAATTGGAAAGTGTAATAATAGTATTGGTGTGTATTTATTAGTATGTTTATTATAAATTAACAAATTCATAAACTAATGAATTAAGACTCAATAAATTATCCCAGGCTCATATGATATAATATACGTTAAACAACGATAAACAACAAGTGGCTATTGTAGGACGTTGGTAAGCAGCTCAACATTTGTAGTGGTTTGCGCGAGTTCGAATCTGGGCTGCGACGTATTTTCCGGTTTCTCCCCTTTTTCCGAGTTTCAGACGGCTCGGGTCCGTCCCGGGTTCAAGTGGGTCAGCGGTTAACTCCGGTTTTGACCCCATTTGCGGGCTGATGTCCAACCGGACCGGAGAGCTGGCCGGTTGACTGGGTTCCGGGTCAAGCCGGCCGGTCCGGTTCGGATCTTACAACATAGCTTTAAATCGAGATTACAAGAGTCCTAATAGGAAGCATAAGAATAATAGGAAGTTTCCTAACTGAATAAGGAAATAACTTTGAATCTGAAATAACTAGGATCTAATTAATTAAATGCTGCCAGCTTTCCTATGAAATACTATGAATTGGCCCTGATCAGCCACGTAAACCACCCTGCTCTTTCTTGATTCGCCCAACTATATTTTCTAAATCTTCTCGGCCACACTTTCCTAAATTTTCTAAATACTATGAATGGATCCATAACAACAGGTTCCAGACTGCCCAATATCAACAATTGAGGATTCAAAGTGTGATTTTCCTGAACACCACAAATATTGATTTGAAAGGATATAAGTGCACCTGTATCTTTACTACTTTCTGACGGAATGCAAGGAAGTCCTTCCGGGCTTTCCACCCTCGGTATTTTTTCTGAATAGTTAAAGCTGCAGAGGTGTAATTGCGAGGGGTACGAAACTTTAGCTGGGTTGATGAAGCTGAAAGACCACGAATGTGGTTGGAGAGGTTAACTAATTCATCTCCACCTCCACCTCCACCTCCACCGCTGCCACCAGCAGCGGCAGCCGCAGCTTCTCTCTGTTGTCTCTTTTTGAAAGAACGTGCACGAAAGGCAGCTTGTATACGTACAGCAGCTAGAGTAGCATTCCTAGCTGCAGCTAGTGTATCCTTAAGATCAATCTGATCATCATTTATCGTGCCATCAGTTTCATATTTAAAACCAAACACTCTTTCTGCTTCCACTACTACCTCGGCATCTTCTTTTGATAGTTCGCTTTCTTCCAATGTAAGGGATGAGAGATGACTAGTGAGTGACACTTCTGAAAGATAACCTGCGAGCCCCTTGTGCCCGTATGAAGCAGCAATTGATGCTGGAGTCTGACCAATAGGATTGATTTTTGTGGGATCAGTCACTGCTCCAGCTGAAGCACCAGATGCTATGAGAGCAGCAACCAGTTTTTCTCTGTTACAGACAAGGACCAAGGGATATTAATCAATTAATCAAGCATTTCTTATCAACAGGCATTTCTTAGCACCAGTTTCAGAATAGACACCCTGCCATTATCTTCTCCTTCCTATTTCTCTTTCAAGAGATCTCCACCATTTATCTCCTAATAGGATTCAGATGGATGGCAGAGATCTCTGACAGAGTAGTATGATGGAGAAGGTTGCAAGAGGTAAGCCACCCCTCAGTAAAAAAGTGCAGTACAATCATCAGTTATTTGGAATCAGTTGGAACATGGAAAATTCTAAGGAAAAATAAAGCAATATAAGGGATATTTTGAAGAACATAAATCTACATAAATTGCCCTAAATAGGAGAAAAAGCTGTGAAATTTCAAAATAATGGTATTACGTTTCTCCCTAAATAGGAGTGATTACTGTCATGCTTGAAAAATACGGCCAATTATGGCATTAATACTGCCATATTAATGTCTACTAATGCCAAAATATGGCAAATTGACAGTATGATTTTCAGCATGACAGTAACTTACTCCTATTTAGGGAAAAAAAATATAGCATTCTTATTTTTTACTCCTATTTTAGGAAATTTCCCTAAAACCTATGGGGAAATTAAAACGTTGGTTCAAGCTTTGACCTGTTTGAATTTGTTCAAATACATGTTATCTGTCTGGTTGTAGTGTTTTACAGTATTGTATAATGATTAATAACTAAACACATTAAAGTTTTAAAAAATATTAATCAAAATAATTATTTTTCTTTAAAAAAAAGCCTTTCCTTAGCATTTTTCACCTTTCAATAGAGTTTTCCATGATCAAAATATACCCAAAACAAGCAAATAAAAGTATCCTTCCAAGTTAAGCAAATAAAAGTAAATATTTTTCAAAGAAGCAAAGGCCATTACTTACCTCCCAAAACGTGCAGCCCAATGCAGAGCAGTCGAACCATTTATGCCACGGAAATCAACTGCTACTCCGGCATCTAAAAGAGGGCGTAATGCCCACTCAAATCCCAACCCAGCAACCATGTGTATTATCCCTTGTTCACTCCTGGACAAGACACAATCGGAATCCAATAGTTTAGCTTTTCCTTGCAATTTGGAATAAAGCCACTGATGCAAGCTGTCTTTCAATAGTTCCTCGAGAAGCCAATCAATTGTGAGGTTTGATGTCAAATTTCCCACTAAAATGCGCTCTATCACTTCAGTCCATAAATCTTCACTTGCTTTGGCTTTTTCCAAACTGTCATTTCGTGATTCGGGAATACCTACATTGCACCTTTTTGACTTACTACACAGAAGCATCTTTGCAAATCTGACAAGCAACAATAATTCTTCAGTGCTCTTGCTAGTGGACTGTGTTTCAGGTACAGAGTTTTCAGTGGCACTATCAGTGTGCTTGACTCTGTACTCGAAATCCTTGACCTCACTGTGTGATTCTCGGTCACCCATGGTTATGCATACAGCTACTTTGCCGGGCAGGTGTGGGGGAGCAAGGCAACAGAAGACGCCATCTTGAATGATCTGGACAGGAACTTCAGTGTCCCCAAACATACACATGCATTCACACACTGATGGATCACAAGAAAAAGATCCCGTAACGATAACCTGTGTTAACAATTTTCAACTATTTAGACATCTGGCTCCATAAAACTGAGATTGGCCATCAAACAACAACATACAAGAAGCACTTTGGCTTGTTCAGGAAGGGACATGAGCTAATTGATTAATTTAATGTGAAATTTCAGACTTGCTCTCTGTTTGGATGGAAGACATAAGGGAATGGTCTGTTTCTTATATGTATTCGAGATCCCACAAAATGAAAGATTAACTTATTGTGCCATCAAATATCATTTTAATCACCTTTTATTTATTTTTAGATATAGACTAAACCCTCCAAACCACTTCATTCCACACACCTTTAGAGACTTATTAACAACAAGAGCTTATCAGAGCCTAAATTTCAAATGAATAGGATCAGCTAGATAAGCTAAGGGATCATCTCAACAGATCATCATCTTCCACTCTATTCTGCGCCATGTGCTTCAACCCCGTCTTTACCCCCAAATAAATAAATAAATAAATAAATAAAGTTTTAGTGTCCCTTGTTAAACCCTAAAGACATTTGAGACAGATTAAAGGTAATTTTATTGACATGTGCAAGTAGCATTTCAAAGGGATGGACAAGTAAATTTAAATGTAACAGGTCCAACAGGATAACAGCCAACATCATGCAGATGTGTTAAAAAAGTTACCTTTGTAGTCTCATCGGTGTATCCCCAGTCAGGAGATACAGCAGTAATTCTAAATTTCTGCCTTTGAGAAGCATTTAAGCATGTGTTATCTAAAAAATAAGCTCCATGCTGATTTTGGTGTAACGATGTCCCAAAATTTTCGGGTTTAGTTACATGAATATTTATTGCTGGTGAATATGTAGGATATCTGAAATCTTCAACTTGTTGCGGAATTCCTATGGAACCTGTAGTGTCATATCACATTTCAGATTTTTGGAAATTCATCAGAATATGAATACATTAATATTAAACCCACCAGATGCTAAAAGAGATCTTACAGTTCTGGTCCTCTTCTCCTCGAAAAGCTTGCCATGTAATGCTTTTGGGCAATTCAAGTGGATCTCTTAAAAGCGGAGTGATCTATCATAATGTAGTAGATGTATGCAAAAGATGGACATTAAATTTTGCCACAGAAAGGTAAATTTTGAATTCCTAATTCTAATTTAATAGAAAAAGTAGGGATTAGATTTCATGCATCCATTTCACTCATAAATACTTCAAAGAAAAGAAAATTTTAATTGTATAAAATTCCTCGCACCATCTCGTCCATACGGACACATTCGGCATCCACAGAACTTCCAAAAGCATCAATCATGTCTTTCTGTCGATTAACTTCATGCCCGGTACACAGATTATCAGTTAGGTCCCCTACAATGCATAGGCATTAGCTGCAAATTCCAGATAAAAAGTATTTCCTCTAAATGTCATCAGAGCTCCTTATATTATTAAACAAGGACAATACAAATCATTGACGTGACAGGAAGCCAGTGATTAGATATGCTAGTGTTTTTAAGAGATCTGAATTGACCCATTGTTTGGGTAGAATTTGGAATGAAAGAAGTGGCAAAGGAAAATCAGCTATTCATCTGCTTAGATCAAGAGAAGGGTGATAGGGATGGGGACTACTAACAACTTGAAAATCTACTAATTTTCATATCAAAATTTTTTTCTCCCTTACTCTCTACTATACTTCTTTGTCCTCAAAATCTATGCTCTTCCAAAGTCTAATTAAAGGCTAAGATACAAGTACACGCTACATGAATTTTCAGCATCTATGAGATATAGATAGAAAAAATGTATAACCTGAATGTCTATGCAACAGACCAATGTTTGAATCATTCGTCATCTCATCAAGTACAAGTAAGCTATAATCATCTTGAATATTGCCGATGCCAGCTGAGTATTCTATCTGGTTGTATAGGGGCTCAATGTTATTCAAGCTGTCATCTTTCAGACTTAACTGCACCTCAGACCTTCTCAATGTGTGACTTAGTTCAAGCACCGATGAGCTACTATCCTCTTCCATTGTGTCACTTGACTGATTTATCCCGTAGCTATTAGTGTCAACAAAGAAGCAATTCTCCATTGATACAGAGGTAGAGGATGGTTCGTAAGATTTACACATGGCAGTTGTAGGACTTGCAAGCTGAAGAGAGTGTTGGTTGGAATTGAATGTAAAAGATGCAAGAGAATGTTGTGGTACGATTTGAGTGTTCTGTTTTCCCTATGATTCACAAGTGAAACAGACGGCATAAGCATCGCCACTCAAACTATCTGCAAAGTATGCAATTTCATTGCCACTCAAGCTATCTGCAAAGTATGCAATTACGCTAATCTTTACTAGACTTTAAGTGAAAATATTAGGTGGTTGTTATCATACAAAGATGAACGAGTATAGTAGCTGATGTCCTTCATGAATAAAATAACAGCACACAGAGCGATTGGAAAATTAGCTAAAGCAAATGCCTATCACTGAAATCTGCATACTTTTCATTAAAAACTAGAAGATGAGAAGATTAGACATGGAATGGTCTTAGTTGACGAAGCCATTTGTCAGTACTTTCTTGTCAGGATTGCTGATTTGTCCGAAAAAGGTAAAAGAATAATAACCTGATTTGTATCTCTGTAGTGAACCAAAACAACATGCATGTATGCCCTGTTCAAAGTCCCAAAAATATAAAAGAATGAAAATTCAGATGAACCCCGGAATGAACATGTATAGCCACTAAAGTCATTTGAATAAGGGGAATTTTGAGTTTGCACCCCACGTTTCGGGCGATATTGGACTTTGCACCCCATTTTCAAAATGTTTAGACTTTGCACCCTATCTACAACATTTTGTGAAGAACAATTCTTGAATGGGGGTGCAAAAGAAAAGACATTTTAGGGGAAATATCCGTTTTGAACTTGGGGTACGAAGTCCAATATCACCCAAAAAAACGGGGTGCAAAGTCAAAATATCCGTTTGAATAATCTATAATGTATTACAAAACAAAAAAGATGGAATCTTTAATCAACCTTTTTGTGCCCTCTAGTGATAATGTGCAGAAATAGTTTATATGTACTATTAAAGATTAAACGAGTAAACTCACGGATCTAACATCCAAAAGCAGCGCCTTTGAAATTTTGGATTGTGCTCTCCATGTGCATAATAACAATTTAGAGCTTCGACATCTCCTACCTAGCCAAAATGAAAACGTCAAATAAAACCCCTCCATCAAATACTACCTCCGTCCCAAAAAAATCTTCCCACTTACCATTTTGGGATGTCCCAAAAAATCTTCTCATTTCCCTTTATGGAAAAGTTTGTGTGGCTAACATTCATTTACCTTTTTGTTACTCAAACACAACCATACATTTCCACTTTATTCCCACTTTCTTAATAGGCATGCCAATATTTTTTTGGGACGAAGGGAGTATGTTATACTACTTTTGTCATTTCATAAAATTCAGACCTTGATTTTGATTAGTATAATATTATAGAATTTATAAATTTTTTAGTTTTATGAAAGTACTTTTAACAAAGAACATTTTTCATATCATTATTATATTATAAATAATTTTCTATGAAAATATATAGTTGGTCAAATTTTTAAAGATGGCAAAGTTATTTGGGACAGAGGTAGTATGAACCAGACTGGTTTGGAGAGCATAATAACTTTTCAGAGCTTCGACATCTCCTAACTAGCCAAAATGAAAGCGTCAAATATAACCCTTCCATGAAATATGTTATATGAACCAGACTTGGTCAATTTGTACAAAAATGCGTTGTTAAATAGCACTACAACACAATAACAAAGAACCCTAGTCCGTGGATAATTCAATGTAATATATCTCTAATTGCTTACAAACGTTTAGAAGCCAAAAGTCCCAATATTTACCTTGAGCCTTTCATGGCCTTCTCCTCCGGATCTCCCGTCTTTCTTCCTGCGCCACTGATGACCATCATTACGGAAATATCTAAGTACTCTCTTGTTGAAAAGGAACAAAGACCCACCTGTTAATAGCAATACATGGTGACTAACACTGACATCCAGAATGAACTAAAGTATCAACAGATATATAAACACAATTGAGAATGAGAAGTTCGAAAACTATAGTAGAAAGAAATATACTGGTAGAACATTACTCGGAGGCTTTTCAGGTTTCACATGGGTGATCTGGAGGTTCTCATGGTTCTGTAGTATGGATAACACTTCAACTGGTTTCAGCCACCTATTTTTAGCTTCTTGAACTAAATCATCATAATTAAATCCTGAAATGTGTATAGAATAATGATTGTAAGGCAATCCTGTGATGGCATAAAATCAAGAGTGAACATTTCCAATGCCCAACTCTCTTTCCAGCTTCCAGACACTATAATATGCTTGACACAATCCAAAACTAGAAGCAAATCCCATAAACTAGATAAGAAAAGCAAATTTTCCAAAAACAAACCAATTGAGGCATCGTAAATAATCCAAATGCTGACAGCTATGAGAATACAGTAGTTACGCGGAAAGGTAAACTGTAAAAGTGAAATACTCCGTAATCTCTTACCTGATTCTGCCATAATTGTAAGCGGCAGAATTTCAATCATGTAAAGTGAAAGCTCTCAGCTCCGGTTCGCCCAAATTGAGCTCCGAAGAGACGCTCCAGCAGGAACTGAGCTACAAAACGGAGTTCAGCAGGGTTGGAAGGAGAGGGAACGAGTGGCGAAGTGTATCTCCAACTCAGACCATTCTCGCGTCTGCTGATCAAAGTCGAGGGGCTGTTGAAGGCAACTAAGCAGCAGGAAGTAGAGATAATATATGGACATTCCCTTGGTGTCGGTGTATTGATGATTCAACTTTTGGAACAATTATATGGACATTCCTGTCATGTTGGCATTCGTCGATGATCCCGCAGCTTCGAGGGATCACCCCAACCGCATGTTTCTAAAATGCGGTTGCGGGAACCAGTCGGTTTCAGGAACCAGTCCGTTTCTGAACCGGAACCGCCGGTTTTTGAACCTGAACTACAACCGGAATTGCATGACCGGAATGGCATAGTAGTCTAGTAGATTCCGTTTAGAATCAAAAGTTCACTAGTCCAATTCTATTTTGGGGTGAGCAGAAATACCGAACCGGCATGGTATCGAACCGAACTGATATGGTACCGGACCGAAAAATGGCGTTTGAAACGGATCTCAATTTTTTTGTCTCAAACCGAACTGTACCGCTTCTAAACAATGCCATGACCGGTTCTCATAAAACGAGAACCGGTACCGGACCGAAGTATGATTCAATGATTTAAATTTACATTTATACCCTTACTTTGACTATTGTCTTCACACTTTCACCGTCTTTGCTAATTCATAGGAAGTCTGGAATCGGACCGATGTATGGTTTAATTATTTATATCTGTACTACTATAATTTATCTGAAATTTATTAATTATGTAAAATACTACATTCATTCCAAATTGATTTGCAAAATTAACTTTTCTTGGTCAAACAGTTTCATTTTATTCACTTAAGTAGAATGTCACTTTTTAATTATATTTAATTTGGAGCTTGCAATGCAACCTTGAAGAGATTTCAATGTAGTTTCTGAATATGTTTATTTTAATTATTAAAAAATAAATTAATTATCAATAAAGAGAATTTAAATTGAACATGGTTGACAAAAAAATATTGTCTTTGCATGTCAATTTGGGATAAAATGAGTATGAAAATTGATAAATTGTGTCGATTTTAAGGGGATGAATAAACTTTAATTTCCTTTTAAGTACTTGAAAAAAGTGACATTGTTTGGTATTGGTATGGCATGGTATCGTCTCGTTTCAAAATGAAACCGTACAAAACGGGTTTAGGTCTAAGACCGAACTGTTTGAATAGTAACGGTACGGGTACGAGTTCGGCCAAATATTGGACCGAACCGGACCGCGCCCACCCCTAATTCTATTCTTCGGAAATTTGAAACTGCAACCAGCGGTTTCGGTTGAGAACGACACGGTTTTGATTTGGAGCCGGATTTTTATAAAAAAAATAAAAATAAAAAATATTACCTCTGTAACGTAAATATGTTCCCATTTCAAAAGTTGATAGATTAAGAATAGTGAAAGATGATATGTATTATGAGAAGATAGTGAAACAATGTAATGGAATGAAAGATAAATCCAAAAAGAGTAGTTGTAATAGTCTATTATTTTTAAAATTATTGAGTGTATGATGAGAAGATTTAGAAATGAGAAGATATGAATGTTACGGCCAAAAAAGGAAAGTGGAAAGATTTGAATGTTACAAAGGTAGTAAATACTAATAATAGTCGTAAAGATAATAATGACGGTTATAATACTTTGGTAACTTCAAAAATAGTTATAATACTAATAATAGTCCGTAACACATAAAGATTATAATGCTTTAAAAATATAATTTTTAGTCAGTATTATATATAATACTTTAATATTACAAATTATAGTTATAAGAATACATAATTTTAAAATTAGTAAAGTACTTTAAAATTACTTGCATCGAAATTTGTACAAGCCAATTTCTAACTACTTAGTTATTTTATTCAAAAAAAACTATTTTGTTTTTAACTATCCAATTATCATACTTAGTTATAGAAATAATAATTATTAATTATATTAATATCTTTTGGGAACTCTTTCTTTCAAATTATCTTATTACTTATTACATACTCTATTTTTATAAAATTAAATTTTGAGCTCTCGCTTCTTTCTAAAACCTAGCGGCCGTCTCCCCTATTTGTAGGGGTTGAGATTTTTCGTCATCCCATCAATATAGAATTGGAGCGGCAGATTATTCTGATTTTAAGTTTTCTGATGCTTGGGATTGCTAGTATGTATGTCAGAGGAGATAACGTTGGTGGATGAACGGATTGCAGATGAGATTTTGTATCGGTGCTGGATCATGAAGCCTTCGCCGGCCGCTTCGACGATGGTTGAGTTTGTATTCATACATATTGCAGGAGCTCGTCCTCCTCCAGAACCTCCTTCATACCAGGAAGAGTTTTGCAGAAAGTTTTTATTTCAATATTAGTTTCTCTTTAGTAGTGCTAGTTTTAGTTTTAGTCAGAGTGGATTTGGTTTGAATGTTTGGATTTTTGAGTTATTTTGATAGGTAGGGTTTCAGATTTGTTCGTTTTAGGCTTAAATTTACCCGTTTCAGATTTAGCGAGTCAGGTTACTTTGTATATATGAGGTCACTGATTCTATGTCTACTCCTAGGTTTCAAGATTGGATATGTAAAGTCTGTCTGAATATTGTCTTGCATGCGTTCTTGATTTTAATATAAAGTCGCCTGTTTTACGATTACAAAAAATTAAATTAAAATTTTAATATAATAAATAAATAAAATAGGAACTACTGCCGGTTTTAGAACCGGTACTGTGCGCTTTCAGTTCTGGTTCCCCGAAATTCCGAACCATGAACCACCGGTTCGTTTCCGGTTCCAGTTCCATTTTGAACCGCAGACAGGTCTATATGTACACGGCATTTTACATGTAGATTGAATTGAGTTGTCCGAGCACATAATTGTTTTTCATTTTGTGAAAAGAATTGAATAAGGTAATTCGAGTATATTTTGAAACAATTAAACAATTATTTACACAATAAGGTAATTCTCACAATTATTAAGGTAAATAATTGTTTACACAACAATTATTAAACAATTACCTAGGAGATATACATAATTACCTTATTAAACAATTATTTACACAACAATTAAATAAGGTAATTCGAGTATATTTTGAAAACTAATGGGATAAGTATATAATGGCATTGTTTGGAAAATGGCTGATCAGCCATTTTTTAGCTTCTTTGACTATAATTAATGAGTTTGACCATCTAAAAAGCTAAATTATTGTTTGGTAAATGGATATGGTTGACTTAGGATTCGACTGGTGCAACTTCTTCCTTTAATGTCCTTCATTCATGATTCACTTGTTCACCGCTCACGCTTGATTTTTACGATCCAAGTAGAAACATCCTAATTGTACAAAAGTTGAGTAAACGCAATGTAAACCATTCTCATGGCGTTCTTTATGCACTAATAAATAACACTTACAATAGTATTACGTATCAAGCACATGTGATAACTTGTGGTCTTGTGGACCAAAATCTGGAATATTTTTTCTTTTTTTGGATGAAATGTAAATTATATTAACACCCAAGCAAAATTTAACAAGTACAATGTGTCCAAAAATCAAAAGCCCCCCTCCCCCTCCTATTTCGTGAGAAAAGGAAAGTGTGAGAAAAGGCTAATAGTCTAGTCTAAGTCAATCTCGACCTATACGCAAAAATATGTTGCCCATAAGTCAAAAATCAAAACTACAAGGTGCACGCACACAAATCCGATATATATAGAGGCTAAGCCGTAGCTTCCCAAAAAGTCCTTAGCTCCACTTCAAAACTTGATCAAGTCATGTGGGTAGATACTAAAGAGTATCTTGTAGACCACATGTTTGATCTTAGCAACCACGTCATCTTCCGTCTTCTTCCCTTCATCAAATCTTGTAGGCCACGACACAGAATGCAAGCCACCCAGTCTTGGCTTTCAAGATTGCTCCTTTGTGTGACTTGGTGATCCACTTGATTGCACTTAGGAGCGTAGTCATCTGATGCCCAAGTTCAATCCATGCTTTAATTCTATCCCATACCCTGCAAGAAAATGGACATTGGAAAAATAGGTGTGGAATTGTCTCCAATCCACCCTTGCATAAGTCACACCTATTAACTATATGTAGGTAACTGAGCCTATCCTGGGTAGGAAGCCTGTTTCTCAATGCCAACCAAACGTTGAATGAGAATTTTGGAGGGATATATGATTTCCAAATGAAACTCATTGGAGTCTTCGGGTTCCCCTTAACTCTAAGGAGTTCGTAAACCTTTCCAGAAATTAATTTCCCATTGATGCACCTAGCATTTAGTCCCATGATGGTTTCATTTAAATTATTAAAACACACTCGAATTTTGTCTCGAATTAGACCCAACTTCTTCATAAGTTGTGAGTCCCGGCTGTGTGGGATAAACTCCCACACACTTTTACCCCGAAGGTAAACGCCATTCACCCAATGGACCCACAAGGTGTCCTTTTTGTGTACGTCCCAAAGAGTGCGCGAAAGGAGGCTATCATTCGTGGTCTTAGCATTGTGTATGCCGAGTCCGCCTTCCTCTTTTGGGAGACAAATGTCGTCCCAAGCTACTTTCGCAAACTTGCCCCCCCCCACAAAAAATTCTACAAATGGACACTATCCTATCCAAAATGCATGGTTTGGGGAACTGGAAAAATTTGGAGCCAAAACGATTGGACTCCTTGTATCACCGATCGTATTAGCTCGATTTTCCCGGTATAGGATAATGTTTTCGTATTTTTTCTTTCAATATAGAACGAGCTGAAATAATAACAAACATATTAAAAATCTAAAATACTACGAAGTAGTAGTGTTTGTTGAATATCCGGCATGTAAAATAGGAGTAGCTAACTGAGCAACTTTAACGGAGTAATATATGTAGGCTGTTCCCGTTAGGGAATGGGCTTTTTGCTCCCTATCCAAGTTTGTTGGATATTTTTGCCCAAAAATTAAGTTTATGGGTATAGATCTTCCTTGTTGACAAATTCGGGGTGTTTTCCCCTTTTCCCAATTTCTATCGGTTAGCTTTGTGTTTGTTCTTAATTGCTCTGCATTCGTTTTTAATATCCCCAACGTGCATACTTTTTTTTTTGTTTTGTATTCACAACATTCGTTTCTTATTTCTTTGTTTTTTTTTTGAAATAGTATTTCTATTTTTAGCTAGTTGGCTTTGTATGTTTTTTTATCAAATTGCATTCATTTTTAATATCCATAATGTGCATATTTATCAATTTTAATTATTTCATTTTTGATTAAAGTTTGTCTCTTTTTCAATTTTTATTGATACTT